TCGTAAGAGTGTATATCAATGATACCTTAATAAAAAAATAATAATAAAAAAAGCCAGGTATGAAATCATTTGCGACTATTCAGAAGAAATCCAAGAAAAGTCAACTGAAAATTATAAATGCCCTGATTTAAAAGTTTTAAGCTATTAGTTTTATCAAAATTATACCTGCATATAGTTTAAAGAGGTTTATTGTAAAACAAACCAAAAAAACCTATTATCTTCTCACTTCTCTAGTGCTTCCCCTCCTCAAAGACAACCACTTTGTTCTTTGGGTGTCTATTCCTATATCCCTAGACATCAAGTTCATGCTGTGAGGCAATCTCCCCACTCCCAGGCCTGTCGCTGCCGATTCCCCACTGGGTAAGGTGAGGCTTGCCTCCTGCCCAGCCCTGGGCCTCATCCTCACAGCCAGCTGCCCGGCTCCCCACAAAGGGGCCTTGAGGCTCTGCAGGACTCCCCCTCTCATGGTTTTTGCTCCCCCACAATTTGACGTCTGCTTAGCTTTGTGGGAGTGATTTTTAGTTTTGCCTCTATTTCTCCCCAAATATGTTCAAACTAAGGTGTCTTACCAATCCATTTTGGGGAAATCTCTCCTAGAACCTTCCCCCCACTTTTTAATTAGATTAGTGTCCTCAGTACATTTTTTACTTTATTTGATCCCCTTTTTACAGGCAAGGAAGTCATAGGTATGTTGTTGAAGTAACTTGCTGGGGACGGTGCATAACGAGGGTGGAATGAGGTTTCACACTTAAGTCTGCAGGTTCACCACTATACTACGCTGCTGTGGGTCATCCAGCACAGCAGTCATGGAAAAATAGAGCCACATTAAAGTGACATTAATGACATAAATGCTTTGGGTACATAGTGTGATTAAAAAGTGTGAGAACTCCCAACAGAGGAAAAAGCAGAAAGTATTAGGATTCCAGTTGAGATTAAAGGAGGCTCCTCTCCCACACACATTTCTGGTTTTGCCATTTTATGCTATGATGCTGACTACCCTTTATCATGGGGGGAAAAGCATCAATTCACACATAGGCTTCCCTTCCTGGGAGAGTCCCCTGGTCTTCCACGTGGGGAAGGTGGTGACAAGGACAGGTCTGCCTGACCTCTCTGGAAACCTGTGGACCCAGGGTGGGTACACATGCAGGGGCCACCCCAGGAGTGGGACTCTGGACCAATCACCTTGCCAGACAGAAAACCAAGGTCAGAGAAAGAGGACAGGCGTCCTACCTGGGAGTGGCCGGAACAACTTCTCATGGAGGTATAGCAAGTCCATCATCATGTTGTGGCCCACCAGGGGCTATTTGGCAAGTGGCAGGAGAGGAGTGCAGTTTAGTAGAGACAGACATCCCAGGCAAATGGCCTCTTGCAAAGGGTGCAGCCTCAGAACCACCGCCACTCTCACTGCGTGGTGACCCCACCCCCACCCTCCTCGCGCCACCACGCAAGGTGGCCCAAGTGCTCAGATGGCAGAAGAGATGGGGAAGAGGTCCTGAGGCAGCATCCACCCTGGGGAGCCAGACTGAGACAGTCGCAGGAAGGTCCCTGAGTAGTTTCAGCTCAGTCCTGTGCCTGACAGGAGCAAGTAGCATCGCGTGTGGACCGTCTTTCCCCAAAGCAACCTACTCTGACGTGGTGACAGCAAGGTCCAACCCCTAACGCCTCTTCTCAACAAGCCGCTCATCCCAGGGACCTCATTTTATTGTTGGAGGACCATCATCTACCTATGATCAGAAATGCTAAAGGCCAGGAAGAGATTTTTCTTCCCTACCTTCTGGGCTTTCACCAGCATCTGGAAAAACACAGAGAAGCCCCTCGCAGAGAGAAGAATCTTCTCTTTCCAAGAGGCCTCTTCACCACAAGAGGTGTTCTCAAGACACCAGCGGTGTTGCTTGCTCACTCTCTTCACGACCACCTGGAATGAGAAGAAGAGTCCAGTTCCCAGGCTCTGGGCATGAGGCCAAAGTGGTTCTTCATCTCAGAAAGGTGGGGAGGTGGGGAGGCAGGGAGAGAGGGGCCGCCGAGGCTGCCCCACTCCAGGCAAGAACTCACCCCTTGGTCTGTCAGCACCGTCCACACATTGGGGAGGGCCTGCCTCAGCACCAGCTGGACCTCAAAGGCCTGGAAGCCTGCGGCAAGGAACCAAGGCTCACACAGGGCCTCTAGACCCTACAGCCACGGTCCGCTCCCCCGTCAACAGAAGCCCAAGACAGATGATCAGATAGAAAGGCAGCCTAGGTGCACCCCAGCCTGAGCCCATGGAACAGGGATGGCCTGGTGCCATGCTGCCATCTAGGGAAGCCTCCTCAAGGTTTATCTCAGGGCCACTCTTATACCGAGGACCCCAAAGAGTCTTTCAGGGGGGAGGCTGTAGCTGCTGAAATTCATGTTAGAAATTAAAACTATACATTAGGTTGAAAGTTGTAGTTTTTTTAAAAAAAAATAACCCCCTCCTGTTCTTGCCCAAGATTTAGTAACATCATGCGTTTGTTACTTGGAAACACTGGCTTGCAGAGTGATGCAGAGCTTCCCACCATTCACCACACAGCACTATGCAATGCCAACAAAAGACACTTATAAATATAGCCACGGATCATCAGAAAGGCTGCAGTGCCGGGAAGCCGTCAAGCTTCTGGGTGGCAGACGCAGGTTGTCTAAAATTCCCGTTTTTGACTGAAAGCTCCAATTTGATCACAAGCAAATACTAAGTTATTCTCCCTGAAGTGACAGGCTTACTTTTTTCCACTTGAGAAAAATGGGTGAAAATACCCAAGTCAAAATGGCCATTCAGGGCTTACAAGTGAAAATGATATTCCCTGAAAGGAAGAGCAGTCAACTCCCAACTCAAAAACTTTCATATGTGCTTTTCCTCAAAAAAACCACCACCTTGCTTTGGTAAGCAGCAATGTTTTATGCACTTATTTTTTTGCGTACTTATTTTCACACCTAGAGTATTAAAAAAGACAGGGGTTGAGACATAATAAAAAAAATTAAAAAATTATTACTTATTCACTATAATAGGTAGAGGAGGTTCTTAAAGCAAAGTCCAGTTTTACTTAATGAGAAGCAGTAACAAGGGTCGCAGTGCGAGCCAGCGGGGTTCGCCGCTCCGGCCTCAGTCTGTGCAGAGCGCTGGCAGGTCTATGCACCAGTGGCTCGGTACCACGAAGCAAACGGCACAGTGAGCGACAATGCCGGGTGATAGGTGACTGATATTGTGCCTTGTGGACCCCTTAGAAAAGGGGTCAGAGACCCTTGGGATCTGAGAACTGCTAACCTAGGGCATGTTCACTGCGATTCCATACTGCAGTGTGTGTGGGGGAAATCAGACAGACAAAAGTAAATAAAAGTACATAGGACACACAGCACTGGAATAAATAGCCCGAATGGAACCTCCCTTCATCTTAAAATTCAAAATAGGTTGAAAACCCTACTTCTAAATTGAGGTCAGAGCTTTATTCAATCATAAAGGCCACACATCTGCTGAGCTGCCCAGGATCCACAGGAAAGAGGATGTGTCCCAACCCCTGGTACATGCCAGTGACCAGTCCCAGTACTCCTAGGTTGGGGGAGCAGCCTCCTGCCTACCAGTGATACCAGGGAGGGTCATCCAGTCGCCTTCCTCTGCCAGGTCCAGCCATCGCGTCACCTCATCGATCACTACCTTGATTTGGTCCTTATCCAGAGAACTGAAAGTGGGCACAGGGAAGTGGGGATATTGGAGAAAACCACCAGAACCCTAGGACAAGGGTAACATGAGAGGGCTTTCCAAGGACTCTGGTATTAACATTGTGATCTCAGGCCCACAAAGATGCCTGACTTTCTGAGTCTTATCTTGCATAGAAAGCCAAACGCTGGGCCTGTACTCCCCCATAGATTCATGGGAGCATGCCCTGGCCCTTTCTGCTTCACTGGGACACACAGAGGAAAAGGTCTCGGAAGCCGGCCAATGCTAAGCATTACTATCAGGCCTGTCCTTCTAACTCAGCTTTCAGAGGTGGAAAAGCACCATCTGGTGAAATAAGGAAAAGACAGGAATGCTAGTAAGCACATCCCCTTCTCAGTTAGAAATGCGAGAACATGACGTTCTTAGAAGGAAAGACTTTTCTCCAACATTTGAAAACAACAGAAGGCTAAAAATTCAAATCCCTTTCCCCTTACCAAAAGCTACATTTTTTATATGAAAACTATGAACAAAGATCTAAAAATAACAAACCATCTTCATCATGATTATCTAGACCAGACAGTCATAATATTCTAGAGTTGAACTATCTAGTTTAACCACCTTCCTGATAAAGGTGAAGTAGCTGAAGCCTGAAGACCCACCCTGGGGACACAGCAGGATCAAGCACAAGGTAACATGTCCAGGCCAAGGCCTGTGATCAGCATGGTCACGGTGACCCTGATTTAACCCTGAAAAACCCCCAAGATCACACTGAAGGCCAACATCACACCTACAGTAAGACCAACAGCCATTCCCCACTAGCATTGCAGTGGAATTCCTCCTTCCCTAAGTACATTGAGTCATTGTTTTCATTTCCCTTCAGTTTTAAACACTAAAATCACAATGCAGGGAAGAGCATCCTCCTCTCAGGCAAAGGAATAGGGTCACTAGTGCATCAAACTGTCGTGTTTGGCTGAGCCCCACAAGGGTGAGGGGGTGTGAGGTCACACCACTCTCTGGAGACCCACAGGAAATGCAGAAACACATCAGAAACAGAGACCCCACAAAGCACCCAGAGAAACAGGCTTTACCTGTGGGTCCTCCACTTCCTGGTCAGGATGTTGTGTGTGATTTTCTTCTCCTGTTCTTCATTCATATATGGGATTCCTTTTTTGAGAAACTAAAGACAGGAAGAGAACAAGGTGACAGTCAAGGCACCCTCTGAGCAGGGTAGTGGAGCAAAATGAAACCTTGTCTGGTTTCACATGGGCAAGAAGAATGGGCACAGGATATGAGATTCAGGGGCCAGACAACCTGTACAATCATCCCGTTTCCCTCCCCCAATGCCATACCTTATTATAGTCGAAGCCATACTGATTCAAAAACTGAACACTAGAAGCCTGGAAAGAAAATTCTGAATCCAAAGTCCCAAACGTTGTAGGGAAAAGAAAGAAGTTACACGAATGGGCTACATACCTATAAAAAATAAACACAACATGAGAAAAAGCCCGAACCATTTTTGAAAACTCTGGCTCACGGAGCAGCCTCTTCCTTTCACTGGACAGGCATTTAAATGTTGGCTGTTTTGACTAGCACTGGGGCTAGTGACAAAGGCAGGGGTCCTGCCCCTGGGGAACAGTGTACCCCCATCCTGAACCCAGCATCTTTCCTGACCATCTGGAGCCTGGGAGTTACAGCCCCCTTCATTATGGTCCTGTTACCTGCCATCCTGAGGGCATACTTAGGAGACAATGGAAATGGGAAAGGAACCCCTAACGTATAGTGTGGGAGTCAGGAAAGTCCCCCCAGAAAAGGTGCTGCTTTGAGAGACTTAAAGGGCAGGTCAGAATCTGCAGGGAAATGGGAGAAGGGCCCAGAAGCCCAGGGAATATGGAGTGTCTAGGGCCACAGTGGTTCAGAGCCTGAGTCAGAATTCAGAGGAGAGCAGATGGAGACAGTAAGAGGACAAGAGCCCTGTGTTCTGCAAAAGGGCTGCATACGTACTTGTTTGACTCGCCTTCAATACTGGAGAACATAGACAATCCTAGAATGATAGAGGGAATGAACACCAAAGAAAAGTCACCATAAGTTAATCACAAAAATGAAACATTTTAAACAGTCCTTTGCATCCAAAGATACTGTGTAGGCTTTAGAATGGGATACACTCAAAAAAAAAAAAAAAAAAAGGATTCAAAACAATATGAGAGCTGTCAAGTTGTAATTCACACGAAATTATTAGAATATAGTTATGATTGTTCCTTCAAACACAGAATATTAACATTTATATTGTTTTTAAATTAACCAGAGGAAACAAGGCTACAAACCATGAAGATTTATACAATTGCTTCAAAATGTCTATTGCTTTATAATTAGCATTCACAATACAGGTAGGTCACAGGGAAGGCAGAACAGCATGGAGAAGACAAGTAATGTCTCTAGAGCACCTTACTACACTGATAGTGACTGTAGTTCGGGAGGGGGGGACTTGATAATATGGGTGAATGCTGAAACTACAATGTTGCTCATGTGAAACCTTCGTAAGATTGTATATCAATGATACCTGAATTTAAAAAATGTGTATTCCCATATAATTATTAAAATAGCAAAGATCAAGGACAAGGCAGTATTAAAAGCAGCCAGAGAAAAAAAAGATAACATACAAAGGAAACCCCATCAGGCTATCACCAGACTTCTCAGAAACCTTACAGTTCAGAAGGGAGTGGCATGATATATTTAATGCAGTGAAGCAGAAGGGCCTCAAACCATGAATACTCTACCCTGAAAGACTATCATTTAAATGTGAAGCAGGTATTAAAAACAATTTCCAGATAAGCAAAAGTTGAGGGAATTTACCTCCCACAATCCATCTCTACAGTGTATTTTTAAGGGACTGCTATAGATGGAAGTGCTCCTAAGGCTAAATAGCTGTCACCAGAGAAAATAAAACCACAGTAAAGGAAGTAGACCAATTAATTACTAAGCAAATGCAAAATTAAATCAACTACACACAAAGTCAGTCAAGAGATACACAAAGAGTACAAAATATGACACCTAACATATAAAGAATGGAGGAGGAAGAAAAAGGGAGAAAAAAATTTTAGATTGTGTTCGAAATAGTAAGTGAGTTAAGTTAGACTGTTAGATAGTAAAGAAGCTGCCTTCAACCTTTGGTACGAATCTAAAGCCTGCAATGGCAGTAAGTACATACCTATCAATAATAACCCTAAATATAAATGGTCTGAATGCACCAATCAAAAGATAGGTATAGAATGGATAAAAAAAAAACAAGACCCATCTATATGCTGCCTACAAGAGATTCACTTCAAACCCAAAGACATACACAGATTAAAAGTGAAGGGATAGAAAAGATATTTCATGCAAACAATAGGAAGAAAAAAAGCAGGAGTTACAGTACTTGTATCAGATAAAATAGACTTCAAAACAAAGAAAGAAGAGACAAAGAAGGACATTAGATAATGATAAAGGGGTCAGTCCAACAAGAAGATATAACCATTATAAATATCTATTTACCTAACATAGGAGCACCTAAATGTGTGAAAAATATTAACAGAATTAAAGGGAAAAATAGAATGCAATGACTCATTTTAGGAGACTTCAACACACCACTCACTCCAAAGAACAGATCAACCAGACAGAAAATAAGGAGACAGAGACACTGACCACCACACTAGAACATACGGACCTAACAGACAACTACAGAACACTCCACCCAACAGCAGCAAGATACACATTCTTCTCAAGTGCACATGGAACATTTTCCAGAATAGAGCATATACTAGGACACAGAAAGAGCCTCAGTAATTTCAGAAGGATTGAAATTGTACCAACCAGCTTCTCAGACCACAAAGGTATGAAATGAGAAATTAATTATGCAAGGAAACCAAAGCCCACAAACACATGGAGGCTTAACAACATGCTCCTAAATAATCAGTGGATCAATGATCAAATAAAAACAGATCAAGCAATATATGGAGACAAATGAAAACAACTCAACAGCACAAAATCTGTGGGAAGCAGCAAAGGACATGCTAAGAGAGAAGTATATTGCAATACAGGCTTACGTCAGGAAAGAACAATCCCAAATGAACAGTCTAAACTCACAATGAAAATAGAAAAAGAAATGAGGCCCAAAGTCAGTAGGAGGGACATAACAAAGATCAGAGCAGAAATAAAACTGAGAATAAAACAGTAGGTTAAAAAATCTATAAAAGCAGGAGCTGGTTCTTCGAGAAAATAGAAAAACCCTTAGCCAGACTTAAAGAAAAAGAGTATACACACATAAAAAGGATTAGAAATAAGGAAAAGTCACTACAGACACCACAGAAATACAAAGAATTATTAGAGAATACTATGAAAAATTATATGCTAATAAATTAGGTAACCTAGAAGAAATGGACAACTTTCTAGAAAAATGCAACCTTCTAAGATTGACCCAAGAAGAAACAGAAATCTGAACAGACCAATTACCAGCAATGAAATTGAATTGTTAATCAAAGAACTACCTAAGAACAAAACCCCTGGACTAGATGGCTTCACCACTAAATTTAATCACTTAGAGAAGACCTAATACCCATCTTCCTCAAAGTTTTCCAAAAAGTAGAGGAGGGAATACTTCCAAACTCATTTTATGAGGCCAGCACCACTAATACCAAAACCAGGCAAAGATACCACCAAAAAAGAAAATTACAGACCAATATCCATGATGAACATAGATGCAAAAATACTTTACAAAATATTAGCAAACCTAATCCAAAAATACATCAAAAAGATCATCCATCATGATTAAGTGGGACTTATTCCAGTGATGCAAGGATGGTACATTTGAAAATCCATCATACACATCAACAAAAAGGACAAAAAAAATCACATGATCATCTCAGATGCTGAAAAAGCATTTCACAAAATTCAACATCCATTCATGATAAAAACTCTCAACAAAATGCATATAGAAGGCAAATACCCGAACATAATAAAGGTCATATAAGACAAACCCACAGCCAACATCATACTTAACAGCAAAAAGCTGAAAGCTTTTCCTCTAAGATCGGGAACAAGGATGCCCACTTTCCCCACTTTTATTCAACGTAGTTCTGGAGGTCCTAGCCATGGCAATCAGACAACACAAAGGAATAACCAGCATCCAGATTGGTAAGGAAGAAGTTAAATGGTCACTGTTTGCAGATGACATGATACTGTACATAAAAAAACCATAAAGAATCCATCCCAAAACTACTAGAATAACTGAATTCAGCAAAGTTGCAGGATACAAAATACACAAAAATCTGTTGTATTCCTATATACTAATGATGAACTAGCACAAAGGGAAATCAGGAAAACAATTCCATTTACAATTGCATCAAAAATAAAATACCTAGGAATAAACTTAACCAAGGAGGTGAAAGACCTATACCCTGAAAACTACAAAACACTCGATGAGAGAAATTAAAGACACCAATAAATGGAAATATATCCTGTACTCATGGCTAGGAAGAATTAATATTGTCAAAATGGCCATCCTGCCTAAAGCAATCTACAGATTCAATACAATCCCTGTCAAAATACCAGCAGCATTCCTCAATGACCCAGAACAAATTATTCTAAAATTCATATGGACCCACAAAAGACCCTGAATAGCCAAAGCAATCCTGAGAAGGAAGAATAAAGCTGGGGGAATTATGCTCCCCAACTTCAAGCTCTACTACAAGGCCACAGTAATCAAGACAGTTTGGAACTGGCACAAGAACAGACTTCATAGATGAGTGGAAAAGAATAGAGATAAACCCACACATACATGGCTAATTAATATACAATAAAGGAGCCATGGATATACAATCCGGAAATGACAACCTCTTCAACAACTGGTATTGGCAAAACTGGACAGCTATATATAAGAGAATGAAACTGGATTATTGCTTAACTCCATACACAAAAGTAAAGTTGAAATGGATCAAAGACCTAAATGTTAAGTCATGAAACCACAAAACTCTTTGAAGAAAACAAGCAAAAATCTTGAATATAAACGAGCAACTTTTTCTTGAACACATCTCCTCGGGCAAGGGAAACAAAAGCAAAAATGAACAAATGGACTGCATCAAACTAAAATGCTTCTGCACAGCAAAGGACACCATCAGGACAGAAAGGCATTCTACAGTATAGGAGAATACATTCCTAAATGACTTATCCAATAATAGGTTAATATCCAAAATACATAAAAAACTGACACACCCTCACCATCCAGAAAGCAAGTAACCTGATTAAAAAATGGGTGGAGGATCTGAACAGACACTTCTCCAAAGAAGAAATTCAGATGGCCAACAGGCACGTGAAAAGATGCTCCCCATCACTAATCAGGTAAAGGCAAATTAAAACCACAATTAGATATCACCTCACACCAGTTAGAATGGCCAACATCCAAAAGAGAAGGAACAAATGTTGGCAAGGACGTGGAGAAAGGGGAACCCTCCTACACTGCTGGTGGGAATATAAATTAGTTCAATCAGTGTAAAAAGCAATATGGAGATTCCTCAAAGACTCTAATAGAAATACCATTTGACCCAGGAATTCCACTCCTAGGAATTTACCCAAAGAAAACAAGACCCCAAATTTAAAGACATACACACCCTTGTTTATGGCAGCATTTACAATAACCAAGATATGGAAGCAACTTAAGTCCATCAGTAGATGAATGGATAAAGATGTGATTCATATACACAATAGAGTATTATTCAGCCATAAGAAAAACCCTACCATTTGCAACAACATGGATGGAGCTAGAGAGTATTACCCTCAGTGAAATAAGTCAGGAGGAGAAACATAAGTACCAAATGATTTCACTCATTTGTGGAGTGTAACAAAGCAAAACTAGATGAACAAAATAGCAGTAGACTCAGACTCCCAGAAGGGACTAGCAGTTACCAAAGGGAAGTGGGTGGGGGAGGATGGGTGCAGAGGAAGGGAGAAGGGGATTAAGGAGCATGATAAACACACATAATGTAGGGGGGGGGCAGGTCACCAGGAGGCAGAATAGCATAGAAAAGACAAGTAGTGACTCTGTAGCATCTTACTATGCTGATGGACAGTGACTGCAATGGGGTGTGTTGGGGGTGGGGGGCTTGATAATATGGGAATGTAGTAACCACATGTAGTTGCTCATGTAAAACCTTCATGAGACTGTATATCAATGATACCTTAATAAAAGAATAAAACATCTATTGCTAAAACAGTCATACGCAAAGTGAGAAACACTCCAAAGTAGGGAAAGAATAGTTATGTATCTAAGAGCTGTATCCCATACTTCTCGGCTTAAAATTAAGAAAAACCACATTAGAAAAATAGCAAAGGACAAGGATAGAGAGCAAAACATACACAGATGTTTGCCATCATTCACAGGATAAGGGTGAGTAAAACATCTCAACCTGTTTTTGTAAATAAAGTTTTATTGGAACAGAGTCATGCTCATTTATCATCTACATCTGGTTTCCCATTAACAATGGCAGAATGAGTAGTTGTAAGACTATCTGGCCTGCAAAATTTTGTATCTAGCCCTTTCCAGAACAGGTTTGTTGACCCTGTATTAAAAATGCAAATCAGAACAGTTATATCCTTTTCCTCTCAGGTGGCCTTAAAATTTAAAACTTATAATACCCAGTTTGAGTGCAGGAAATAGGCACATTCAGGCCTCTCAGTGTAAGTCACTGTAAAACTTTGTGGATGGTCGGTAGGAAGAATATTTTGGCAACCCAGATCAACACTTTAATGCAATACTCTTTAACTCTGTGATTCTACTGCTGGAATTATACCAAAGTACTCATGAAAATACAGTAATATACAAATACCAAGATAGTGAAGACTTGTTTTATTACACACAAAGGGTAACCAAAGTACACTTTGCATAGTATTCCAAACCATGAATGTATCTGTTGACTAACAATGTTAAAAATGAGCAAGAGATCTGTAAGTGTTGATACAGAAAAATCTCTGAACAGCATTAGTGAAAAAGTTGTAGAATGAAATGTTTATAGTTTAATAAACTCATTTGTATATGTTTTAAGCAAAAAAGTCACATTTTTCCTTGAAAGATAATACAGGTTCCTTAAGGATGGATTTATTTAGGCATGGAAACAATGCTGCCATATTAAGTTTATGCTTGTCCTAAAGCCTTAGGTCTCACAGGCATAACACCGCCAAACCCCGAACAAGCATACAGAATGATAGCTGGTATCTTTGAAATGTGCCAAAGCTGCTTTACTATTAGGAAATTCACAAAAAGGTCTCCTTCAAGAGCTCATTACAAACAGCTGAAGATTACTCACCAATCTGACATATTGTGAACTTCTGAACATTCTGGCGGGTCTTTAGATACCAGTCAGACGGCAAGTCAAAAAGACTGTGAACAAACAGGCATCTCATTCCACAGGCAATGAGATGGCCCCAGAGCACCACAGCCTCCACGCCGGACCAGCACCTCTCAAGGCAGAGTAGCACCTTTCTTTGTTACAACTAAGAAACATCCCCCTTCAGTGGACAAAGGCAGGGCCTCCCACCCCCAAGCAATGTTGTCACCCCCAAGCCCCAAGGCCACCAGAGCGCCTGCCGGCAGGGCCCGGATGCTAATCCAGAAGGGCGCAGGTGAGCACCTTCCCAGCTCAGCTCTAAGGCCGCGTTGGGTTTACCTGATCTGCTGGGACCGGGACAGTTTGGAACGAAGGCCGGTGAACTCTATGTCCAGACCTGAGTGGGAGGCAAAAAGGACAAGTGGCCCCAGGGTCAGGCATCACCGCGGCTCTGCTGGCCGTGAATGCTGCGGGTGGCAAATGCCCACGTTTTCAGTGCTCAGGAGGCCAGGGAAGATTAAGAAGGGGACACGAGGGGGCCAAAACAGGGCCTAGCCACGCCACGGGGTCAGGGCGAGGCTGCCGCTTGCCACCCCACCGCCCAGGCAGAAAGGGGCTCCCTACCCTCCCGAGCGGCCCTCCGTGAGCCTCCCGCAGCCTGGCGACCTTCCCAGCTAGGCCTCACCTCCCCGCCCTACCCCACGCGCACCACCCTGCACTGGCCCGCCAGCCCTGGGGACGCTGGCGACGAGGCCCGCAACGCGGGCATCTTACCCACGAAGTCCGCACCCAGGACAAGCTCCTGCAGCAGAGGAAGGTTCTGCTCGAACTCGTCGGCGCCTATCTCCATGGCCACGCAACCTGCCGAGAGCGCCCACTGCAGCCACGCACTTCCGCCGCGCCGCGGCCCTTAAAGGGCTCGCGTGGGACACGTGCCGCCCGACACGCCCCGCCTGCCCCGGAGTCTCCCAGCGGCCCACGCCGCCGCCTGCCTGCTCACAGGTGTTTGATTTTACACCCTGCTGGCCAAGGTGAAGGGTTGCTCAGACTCCGCCTTTGCAGCTACGCAACAATTTATTTGCAGCCCCTAAAAGGTGGGGATGTTATATGTAGACCCAGAATGCTAAGAGGCATAGTAGGAGAAAGTAGTGCCTGGAAAGGGGTAAAAACAGACCAGTAAACAGCACCTGAAAGAACTGCAGTAAGTGGGTCCTGCAACTGCAGTAGGGATAGGACCACTTGTTTTCTAAACTAGCCCATCTGGACTTCACGGTCACTACCAGTATCGGTCTGTCCCCATCCCCTCCCACACACCCAATTTTCCTCACTTTGCATCATTGCCCTTTATAACACCTTATATCGAATTTGGCACACAAATCCCCAGAATTGCCCATCAAACTGAAGGAATTCTCGGTGCCCAGAGATGATCTAGGACAATCATATTCTTGGCCAGAAAAAAACCCTAGCTAGAGCATTACTTACAGGTGAACCCTATTTTCTCACTGTAAATTTCAAAAGCCACTAGTTCAGTCCATAGTCTTTACGTCCTCCCTTAATTCTAGACTTGTTTGAACAGACTTCTAGAGCCATGGTCTTCAATGTGAAATGCTCCAATTTTTCAGATGAGGGAAGAAAGTACTGAAATTACAGTCCATATTTTTAAATGTCTTTTCTGGGGTATTTACTGATCAAAAGGGAGCTACTAAGCTATTCAGTATTCTGAAGACCTCTCAGAATCGCACTTAATGTGGGTGCACACATTTGTTATCTTTTTAAAATATACTGAGCTCAGTTTGACACAGTCAGCCATTTTACTCTTAATTAAATATGAAATTGGAGTGCAAATATAAAAATGGGGAGAAATACTCTAGAAGCCACCTAACTGCTTAGATTCTTCCTCTTCACATTGTCTTAAATAGGTCGAGGCAACACCTTATTTTAATTTAATCAGCCCCTTTAAGAGAACTGCTGATTGCCATCTACCCCAGCTTCAATTTTATTTTATTTTTATTTATGTATTTTTTAAAATTTATTTTATTATTATTAATCTACAATTACATGAAGAACATTATGGTTGCTAGACTCCCCCCTTCACCAAGTCTTCCCCCACAAACCCCATTACAGTCACTGTCCATCAGCATATTAAGATGCTGCAGACTCACTACTTGTCTTCTCTGTGTTGCACAGCCCTCCCTGTGCCCCCCCCCCACATTATACATGCTAATCATAATACCCCCTTTCTTTTTCCCTGCCCTTATCCCTCCCTTCCCACCCCTCCTGCCCAGTCCCTTTCCCTTTGGTAACTGTTAGTCCATTCTTGGGTACTGTCATTCTGCTGCTATTTTGTTCCTTCAGTTTTTCTTTGTTCTTATACTCCACAGATAAGTGAAATCATTTGGTACTTGTCTTTCTCCGCCTGGCTTATTTCACTGAGCATAATACCCTCCAGCTCCATCCATGTTGTTGCAAATGGTAGGATCTGTTTTTTTCTTATGGCTGAGTAATATTCCATTGTGTATATGTACCACATCTTCTTGATCCATTCATCTACTGATGGACATTTAGGTTGCTTCCATTTCTTGGCTATTGTAAATAGTGCTGCAATAAACATAGGGGTGCATCTGTCTTTTTCAAACTGGAGTGCTGCATTCTTAGGGTAAATTCCTAGGAGTGGAATTCCTGGGTCAAATGGTATTTCTATTTTGAGCTTTTTAAGGAACCTCCATACTGCTTTCCACAATGGTTGAACTAATTTGCATTCCCACCAGCAGTGTAGGAGGGTTCCCCTTTCTCCACAATCTCACCAACATTTGTTGTTGTTTGTCTTTTGGATGGTGGTGATCCTTACTGGTGTGAGGTGATACCTCATTGTGGTTTTAATTTGCATTTCTCTGATGACAAGTGATGTGGAGCATTTTTCATGTGTCTATTGGCCATCTGAATTTCTTCTTTGGAGAACTGTCCAGCTCCTCTGCCCATTTTTTAATTGGATTATTTGCTTTTTGTTTGTTGAGGTGCGTGAGCTCTTTATATATTTTGGATGTCACGCCTTTATCGCATCTGTCATTTATGAATATATTCTCCCATACTGTAGGATACCTTTTTGTTCTATTGATGGTGTCCTTTGCTGTACAGCTTTTTAGCTTGATATAGTCCCACTTGTTCATTTTTGCCTTTGTTTCCCTTGCCCGGGGAAATATGTTCATGAAGAAGTCGTTCATGTTTATGTCCAAGAGATTTTTGCCTATGTTTTTTTCTAAGAGTTTTATGGTTTCATGACTTACATTCAGGTCTTTGATCCATTTTGAATTTACTTTTGTGTATGGCATTAGACAGTGATCCAGTTTCATTCTCTGACATGTAGCTGTCCAGTTTTGCCAGCACCATCTGTTGAAGAGACTGTCATTTTCCCATTGTATGTCCAGGGGTCCTTTATCATATATTAATTCACCATAAATGTTTGGGTTAATATCTGTGGTTTCTATTCTGTTCCACTGGTCTGTGGCTCTGTTCTTGTGCCAGTACCAAACTTTCTTGATTACTGTGGCTTTGTAGTAGAGCTTGAAGTTGGGGAGCGAGATCCCCTCTCCCCCCCTCCGCTTTATTCTTCCTTCTCAGATTGCTCTGGCTATTCAGGCCAGCTTTGATTTTAGATTGACCTGCATACACTTCAGGCTTCACACCCTAACTAACTTTTAAATCATGGCAAATGTAGCATACACTAACCCTGTCCGTTCCCACCTGTTTTCAGTTCCTCATTGTATTCCTCTCCTTTCAAATGTAGTTGCACCTGTTAGGTTCCAGGAGCCCAACTAAGGTTAGGATTTGCCCCTTCTATCTTTACATTACTAAGACTGCTTATAGTAAGTTGACTAATACTGGCATTTTCTCTCCTTAAAAAACACCCCAAACCCTGAGCAGCAATAGCTATCATTTATTAAGATTACCCACTGTGACGTAGACATGGTAAGAAATGCCTTGCACAAGCCTCAGGTGTGTACTCTTGCCAGCGAGCTCAAAGGCAGAGAAAATTTCACATAACCAGAAAAGTTCACAGTATGCTTTATTGTTTAACTTACAAACAACATTTGATTTGTCCTTCAAGTGTTAACAATTGGCAACAGCTTTTCTCAGATACTTCTCTCATGTCCACAAGAGGGGAAGAATTTAGCCCATGGTTTAAAAAAAAGCCACAAATACAAGGAGGAGAGGGTATAACCTTAACTACTGACAACATTTGGCTGACCCGTGATTCTGTTAACACTTCCAAGCTGGCTATTCTTTCAGATGCTCGTCTGCAGGACATTAATACATGACAGCTGTATATTTTACACGTTCCAAACAATTCTTCTAGTTCACTGATAGGTTCTCCGAGGCTCCTGTAGCACCACGCCACCTTCTGTCATGGCACTCTGCAGTCGTTTCATCTGGTTTTGAAGATCAGAAAAAAGAAAAAGGGTTAAGTTAGTACCACAAGCAAGCTGACAATAGTTCACTTCCCAAGAGAAAGAGAAATAACTGATTTGGTCCTTGCTAACTTCCCAGCCTACACTGGTTTTACAGAAATGATCTTAATAATGCTGTAGGTAAGAAAAAGAGACTAGAGATGTCAAGGGGAAGCAGCATTTTAAAATACTACACAGACAAGATGTTCAGGGAAGTAGAATGGAAAGACATTATGGCTACAGAATCAGTCACCCTGGATTTGAAACACCCACAATGGCCCCAGGCAAGTCAGCCTCACGTTATGTAGACACATTAACAGGCACACTAGTCCTGACCCTCTGGGCTACTGTGAGGAAGAAATGAGGTCAGACCCATCAGGAGGCTCACCTCAAGGTTTACTAAACGGAAAGAACTTGATAAATGGAATTATTATTTTGTAAGTATCTAACATCAAGAATTAACACAATCTTTTAAGTAAGTACATGAAAACAAAAATACCGAGTCTGAGGCTGCCTCCCAAGGAGTGGGCTGGTAGACCAGGAAGTTGATTCCCGCCTCTAAGCATCGCTCTGCCAGCACCCGTCCTATGCTCTCACAGGCCACCACGTTCCTGGTACTGTAGAGGTGCTTTTTAATAGCCCACTCGCGAGTAGATGCTGAAACCACAACCTGGCCACTGCAATGCTCAACAAGCGCTTCTACGTGATGCTGAGTTCTTGTAACTCGCAACCTAAATGAGGAGAGAAGAGAAAAAATCATAAAAGCATCCTAAGGATAAATGTCCTCCAGTGAGTAAATGCCACAGGGTGTCTCAGGAATGACGTTTGGTTCATTTACCTCGGCTTACTTAACCTGGACATTACTTGGGAAAGGTGTTTTTTTCTCTGTCTTTCCGAAGACACCCTTAGTAACAATAAGCCAAACATTTCTACTTCATCTCAGAATCCAGGAGAAATGTGGTATTCCTGAAAGCTGAGATTTACTTACATAGCGTCTACTTCAAAAAAGGATTTGAAGAGGTAGAGCAAAGTTGCTAACCCTACACCGATATATTTACTCCACGCTTTTATTTTCCAGCTAACACCAAAACAGATATACGATGGATCAAAGATTTAAGTGTAAAAATTGAAATCATAAAGGGTTCTAGAAGAAAACATGGTAGAATTTTTTTATAACCTCAAAGGTAAGCCTACTTAAATATGACATCAAACCATGTCATATGGCTTTTATAGAAAAAGACAAGATTTTCTGCATGGTTTAAAACAGTAAAATGAAGTCAAAAAGCAAGCAATAAAACAAAAAATACTGAGAACTTACGTATTATTCAAAAAGTTAATTTCCATAATATGTAAATAGCCTCCTACAATCAATAAGAAAATGATCAATAACTTAATAGGCAAAGAATATGAATAGACTAGGAAAAGGAAAACA